ACTCTCCAATACTGCATTGGACTTCAGAAGAACATCTTTGACCCTGCAAATATTGAAATCATGCAAATCATTTTAGGTTTAAGTTGGATATTCTTTGAAATCATATTTTAATGTACTTGGTGACCTCTGGTACCTTACTTTTGATCTTGGGTGACCAGAAAATGTACCTGCCAACATTTTCTGAGTCAAACGTGTGAGACTTTCGTATTGTCATGACTCAGGGATTTCCGAAAACAGCCCACAATTTTCCAAAGACTTCTGAATGTTGCTGAAAATGTCCAAAGATGTTCTGATGACCTCAAGCACCTCCGAAGCTTTCGAAAGGCACAATTTTAGCATGCTTTCAAACAGTTACGACACAAAGTCAACATTAAGTGCCTTTTTGGAATATTTTTGTGGAAATTGTTTCAATTGAATTTTCGTTATTAATCATGTATTGAAGAACAATAACTAATTCATCCGGATTTGTGGGCCAGGCATGAGAAATTGTCCTTTGGTGATGTGTAAGAGTGATGTCTTAAGTTCACAGGCATGAGACTCACATAAAATTGGTAAGAGTTGGCAGGCAAAAGAAATCTTAGTTTTTTCACGGTTAACATATGCTAGGCACCCTGGATTTCACAGGTTAAGAGCATTGGGTCGTGTTTCCCAACACTGGTAATCTAATTGGGCTTGACTAGCACAGGCAACCTCAGCTTAAAATTTGAAAGAGAATGGGAGGAAAAACTAATACTGACAACTCTCACTGTCACATAACTAGGCATCAATAGGAAAAATTCGCCAATAAAGTGTAAATAAACTTGAGAGGGATCGGCCCAGCAATATGTCTCACGATTGTGAGTGCTACAGAACTGTCCTAGCTGTGGGGTGATAGTATCATGAACAGGCAGGCCAGTTCCTGACAAACAAAGACAAGGAAGTATAACAGAGAGGTTAAAATCTGATTAGAAAATTTATGCCCCACCCCCCGACCCCTGAGAGAAAATGTTACTTAGTTATATATTGTCTAGTCAACACTGTAAGGTAAATGTCATTTTTTTTCATTATAAGCTCATTTTAAGTCCTAATGATTTCTTTAAATTAGTCTTATATTGCTTGGGTCACCTGTTCTTGCTGGTCTAAGATCGAGTTTTTAATAAATTGGCTGTTACTTCTGAAAAGGATCTATTAATAACAAGTTACATAATTTATATAGAGACTAGCCTTTCAACTTCAGACTGTTTTGAGACATTAGTAACAGCAGCGATGTACTTCATGATTATTTTTGATGCTTCTGTTTTCCCTGCACCACTTTCACCTGAATAAAAGGAGGAAATACAGCAAAACACTCCATTATGACAAAACCAATTATGAAAGAATAATTCTGTCTATATGTATCATAGACTATGGCTGTCTCATCAGTCCTTTTTTATCAGCCTCAGCAGGGCTGTCACTAAGATTTTAAGTTGCTAGGTATATAAAGGTAGTGGGTGTGAATCGAAAAACTGGGAATTTCTTTTGAGTTTATTTTCCTTTTGTCTCCTATAAAGTAGCTGGGGGTTGTGCTGCGGGTACAAAATGCCGGTCGCAGGTCACAAGTGCAGGTTAGAGTACAGGTCACCATGCTACTGTAAATAAACAATACCAAAAAGTGTTTCCTAGCCCTAATCACAATCCAAAAGAGAGTTTTAGCTGAAGGGGAAACTAAAATATTTCAGTTATTTAAAGCGGAGCTCTTGCGCGCAAAGCGCGTGCAGCAGAGCATCATGGGTGAGAAAATTTGGTAGACTATATGCATCCAAGAAATTTTGGTTCTGAGAAAATCGTCTGCACGGAGTATGTCCGTACGTACGTCCACCCCTTCATGTAAGCTGGGGTGAAATTTTGCATTTCAAGTACCCGCGCGCTTCGGCAGTGAATCACATAGCCACCCGGACTTTTAGAGATAAAAACACAACAACAACAAAACCGATTCTTTCTGTCAACTTAATTTTGAAGTCTACATTGGCGTGGATAACAGAGGAAGAGCTAGAGCCAGAGATAAGAATGCAAAGGAGACCAATTTCATTTGAAGAATAACATGAAAATTTTATAGTGGCTGTGAGAAAATGAAAAATGCTAGCGGCCACCAAGGTTAAAATTGAGTGGCAGCAAAAAAAAATTGAACAGGACCACATACAACATTTCCTCCATAAAACATGTAACTAGGAAGTTTGTGGAAGTTTCACATTGTCGTCGTGCAAAACAACAGCAAAGAAAGGTACAAAAAAAGTGTGCTGCACATCCAAAGTCATTTTTTTTTGCTAATTAGACCTATTGTTTTTTTATCTTTGCTGTTTTTGTTGCCGTCGCTGCTTAGTTAGCATTACAAGAATTTAACAATTTGTTTCGAGAGCTTCGCTTTTAGCCCTGGCTAAATCTATATCTTATCAATGGAGCAGTGACCTGCACTTGTGACCAGTGACCTGTATTTTCTGGTATTTTGGAACTGCAAGGATTATGCTCATAGTACCTGGGGAAAATCCCCTGCCCCCAGCCCTTAGTCATAGCCCTGCTGTCAGGGCTGCACTCTACTTCTGTTTACTTTTTTATTCAAATTATTGTAAAATTATGGACAAACACATTTCAAAAGTGCAGTGTAGGATCATTGCAGCTAAAGGTGTAACTTATTCAGTTACAAAAAGAAAGCCTAAAAAATTCAGGCTTGTCTGGGATTCAAACCCTGACCTCTGTGATACCAGTGCAGCACTCTAACAAATTGTACTAAGAATAAAGACATTGTAATAATCATAACTATAACAAAATTCTCAAATCTGATTCGCTATCAACTGTCCTGATTTCAGCACAAATAGGACAGTGTAATAAGACATGTTATGCCTATTATAAAGTAATTGGACAGTACTTGCCATCGCACGTGACACTTAAATGGCATTTTTTCACTGCCAGCAAAAAAACTCTCTGAATTTCTTGTGTTTTAATTTAAAACAACCTAAAATATCACAAGTTTTGTTATAGTTTGGTAACAGAACTTCATGTCATCCAATTCAGTCTGTAATCATGTCTTATGATTAAACAATTGGACTCCCACTATGCAGTCATCAAATTTTCTTAATCATTAATTTGTATGATTACAGACAGAATTGGACTCCACTCAGTCCTATTACCATTATTAAGACCCTCTGGTAATGCACAAAAAGGTACATGTAAATTATTTGGAATTTTTCTTTTCTTTTCCCTTTCTTTGGTCAATGTGAGTATTGTTGGTTTTCACATGACCTCACTAAAATTCAAACTAAAAAACTATCGTTCCTACTGAGATTTTACTTTCACGATGTATTAGAGCAGCTGAAAACTAATTTTCATACAAATTTTCGCTTCAAAAGGGTTCTTGGTTTTGTGATAGAGTACACTTGAATTTCTAAGCTTTTGTGTGACGCGGCATTTACATGAGCTAGGGCCTAGAGAGCTGTCATGTAGGTTAAAAAAATGACTTATTTCAGGAAATTTTGCTAACTAAACAGTTTGTGTAATTAGAAAAAGTATTACTTTAATGTTTATGAGTTTCTCGAAGAATAAATTCACGCTCTTGTAGCAAAACTTGGTATGCTGGAGCTCATCCAGGTGAGCACCAGCATGGCGTCTCCAGACAAATCTCTATAAGTTTGGGAAAAACATTTCTTTGGATATCTCGTATACAAAATATTCCTCTGACCTGAATCTTGGCCGGGGTCTTTGTATATATATGTACCTCCTTTCATTTCCCAGATTCTGGACTTTATCTATTGAGCGGTTTTGATTTTTATTTTGATCTATTTTGAATAGCATGACACTGAAAACCAGCAATCTAGATCTCAACCAAAGAGTCAAATCTGTGCTGAATTAAAAAACTCTTTTTAATAATTAAAATAATTAACTGTGACCAGCTGTTTATATCAGCCTGAAGGCATTATTTTTTATCTTGCCGCTATAGCTATATTTTGCATTATATAATTTTTATATTTACACGTCAAATTTGACTTCAGGTTAAAATGTTTTATTCTAAGTTTATTCTGCTAGGGCTAGCTCATACTCCAAGCTTGGAGGTAAAGGAGGTTGATAATCAACCTAGGTTAAATCAAAATTAACCTGAAATCAAATTTGAACTGAAACAGAGAATTCTATAAGATGATATCAAATTTTCAAACAAGGCAGTATTTCTTATTGTATAGTGTTATCTCATCTGATCTTCAAGATCACTATTCAAATGTTTTTCTGATATAGTTGTCCAGTATTTAATTTGCCATTGATATTAGATTGACTTCGGGTCGATTTAGATGGTATACCACACGAAACTAAATTAGTTTTATTCTAGTTGAATTCAACAGATTATTATAATACTTCTTGGTAGGTAACTGTTCCAGATGGTAAAATACTTTGTAGAGGTTGCAAAGCAACATAATAATAACAATGAATTATTGTTTTTATTAGCATGTACGTATGGCAGCATGACAATGTATAATAAATTATATATTTTCTTGCACTGCACAAAAACAACATAAAGAGCTACATTTTTAAGTTCTAAGAGAACTGAGTAATTAATATAATGAAAGAGTAATCCAAATAATGTCCTTTTAATGTTCAAAATATACAGCTAATGTAAAATGAGAGAAGTACCAGAATTACAGAAATGAAATCTATAGTTGACAGGACTATGGTAAATATTAACTTCACTCACGTCTAAAAGGAAAACCATTAATGATATTTATACTACTACATCAGAAATTTCTGCAATTTGATTGGCCTAGAGCAGTGGTATTTCAGCTTAATTTGAAATACCTACATGTGAAAAATTACAAACCTTTTGTGGGTAGTAGTATAAACAAATAATAGCATGATTTGTACGTGATATTTGGCATAAATACCACTTGTGATATTTCAAAATTGTCTCAAATTTCACTCGCCTAACGGCTCGTGAAATTATGTATAACAATTTCGAAATATCACTCGTGCTATTTATGCCAAATATCACTACAAATCATGCTATTACCTATACTAATGCCACCACATGATGTAACTGCTATTAATATAAATATGGAGTCCTCAAACCACATAGTGTGAAGGGCCAATCGTTATCAAGATCTTTATCAGCTGAAGATGTTTCAAAGAAAGTAAAACTGCGATAACAATCTGACTGTACTAAAGCTGACCTTTGTGGTGCAGGAAGAACATAAAAAAATTAAAGCTTACATAATTGTGAATCACAACATAAATGCATGTGATCTACACAGTGGTCTTCTGACATTCTTTAAAAGAGTTTTTTTTTGACCCAGTAACCTTCTATTACAAAAAAAACTAGAAAAGCAAAAACAGTGTTTGTTTTAATCATTTTACCATTATAAGAAGCAACATATTTTTTACCAATCATATAAACTCAGTTATTTTGGGAAAAAAGCAAAAAAAAATTAAAAAAAATAGTTTACTCAACCATTTTCAACCTGATTTACGCGTATTGGAGAAGTCATAATTTTTTTAAAAAAGTTTCCAATATGATATTTGTTATGGTTGTACAAACTTGAAACTATTCAAATAATACACCATAAAAGACTGACAGCTATGGCTTTAATTATTTTTTGACCGTGAAGAAATTGAATATTAAACATTGAAGAGATAAAAATTGGAAAATAATTCATGCAAATAATTTTACGGTTTGTTGACAGTTTTGAAACCGAAAAAATATTCTGGACTTTTCTTCAAAACTGAAAAGGGATGGTTTTCTTTTTCGAACACTAATGTCGAAACTGTTAAGGGTCAATTTTAGTTGAGTTTTCAAAAAAAATTTTTTGAAAAACTTTTCCTAGATACTTCAATTTACTTTAAGAATTTCATTACGTACAAGGAGTTTAGACGTCATTCCAATATAAACAAAAACAATTTAAACCGATATCTGCAGTTACCACGCAAACTATGCGCCGAAAAAGGCTGAACTTCCGATTGCAGATATACTGATTGTCTATACAAACACCACAAGTATTGTTTGACCAAAAGATTCACACCACAGAATTTAATTTCGTGTAAAGATCAAGTCCACTCGTAAAGCTCTCAAGATGAAATTGTTACTAAACCTCTGATGAATAAATTAGATGAGCGAACCTAAATAAAAACAGTCTTACCTGAAATAACGATACAGGTGTCTTCTGATCGTCTTTTCATCGTTCGGTAGGCAGCATCAGCCAATGCGAAAATATGCGGCGGCCTTTCATACATTTCTCTCATCTTGTACTCTTGAATCTTGTCGTTTCCAAAAATGTTCAAAGTCTTGTATGGATTCACGGACACAAGCACTTCGCCGATGTAGGTGTAAATTCGCTCCTTCTTAAAGCGAAGCTTGAGGTTTTTCATAAATTCGTCTTTGGTGATTTCGTCCAGAAGGAGAAAATCACCTTTGCCATACTCTAAGCTCTCTTGCTCCGCCATCCTGCGAGGTTGGTTCTGCACAGAGGATTCCAATAAATTACTGTGAACTAACTACCTACAAGCTGCCATCGGCATTCAATCTATTGAACCTTCTGATTGGTCAAATGTAAGCGCTGCACCAATCACAGCCTCTGATATATCGTAATCACTGACCCGGCGAAAAGTGGGCGGGAGAATTACAAAAGTTTTCAAAGCAAAGTTAATCCTCCGGCATTTTTTTTATCTTTCGGCAGATCACATACAAATGCCCAGCCTTTCCGTTCCCAGCGTATTAGTTTTGTTGCCAGCGAGATCACGCGAAATATAAATATAAATTAATGAGGGCACTCTTCACACAGCCCGGAATGCCTTTGAGCTGATTAAGTGCCCATTTAAGGTCATCAACACAAGATCGAGTTTCATTTGACGTAATTGTGCAATTATTAATAAATTGGCAAGGGCAATATTATTTTTGATGTAATATTTGACCGTAAAGAGTAACATTTAAGTTTATTTTATTAATTGTATTTTAAATTTACATGTATATTTCAGTTTAGAAAAAAAAACTTAACCTGGCATCAGTGGTCTTGCAGGGTTAGTATTTATAAGTTCCAAGACCAAAAAACAAAGTATCATTAATACGCAAAGGTTGGAATGTAATAAGCTTGCATTATGACGTTTTCACCAAAAGGGAATGTGGCAGGAATGTTACAAAGCAGATATCTAATGTAATTTCGAGGGGGTCTGCAGCCAATCCGAGCTTTGCATTAATCAGGGGATTAATCTGCATCGATGCACAGGGTCTCTCCATGTTCCAAATGCAATAAATTTCCTAAGTTCCTTTCATCAAAATTACCGTGAGAGGTCGTGTAACTCACCAAATCAGAAGAAAATGGAAAGAAACAAAAGGAAAGACGAATTAATGGAAAAAAAAATTAAACAGTTTCCGGTTTTATAAACTGATCGGTTTAATTAGACTATTAACATTACGAGCCTCAGCGCTCAGGAAGTTAAAAAATTCGTACCGTCTGGTTGCTATGAAGTGACGTAATCATCCAGTTGAGTATCCATCACCGTAACACTTTTGCAGTCAACTACCGCAGCGCTCGTAAAGTACTTTAATTAAAACCGTGTTCAAAACCCTGAGGGAAGTCTGTTTATTTTTGAGTCGATTAATACACTGCTGACTTTCACGAGGTCAACTTTTGCATAAATTATCAAACATTATGTTAAGCGGGAAATCTACCTATGGTTCGCGGGAGAAGCAACTTCTATAGCGGCGCAAGACAAATATTTCGAGAGTGGAGGATGTGCTCACAAACTATTCACTATGCGACGAAAGGAGAAATCACTGGCATAATAGCTGCATGTAATGGTAATTTTATCAATCCAGGTCGCGCCGTGTTCGCTCGAGAACACTGTGACAACC